TCTTTTTATCATCGTACTAATTCATGAAGTGTGACATTTCACGCTTCTTAAATTTTCCTTTTGAGAATTCAATTAAAGTACTTAATTATATGTACACACATAATAAAATTTAAATGTATAGTGCAGAGTGCATGAGTATCACATCATCATGCGACAGTTTTTTTGACTGCATTTTTATTTATTATCTATTTTTTTTTTAATAAAAAAAGAGATTTTTTTGTAGTGTTTCAAAAAAATACGTTTTTTCCTTGTCTTCCTTTGTCGGTCGTCGTTTCACAAAATATTTCTTTGCTTACAATTGAAGACCCGGCATTTATATGTTTGTTAAACTCACAACGGTGTTAATGTAGATTTCTTTTGTTTTCTTTCTCTGTATTTACATGAACATATGTTCACGACTTTCTTTTGTCATCAGTTCAATGCTCTTCCTTAATACTTCCCTTGTACCATAATTTCACAAATACCTTATGTTGCAGGTATGTTTATTAATACTGTATATTTTTTATTGCGACGTTCAGTAAAACTATCCATTGTTTCACAATCATGTTCTTACTTAATATGTATTAATTGTCTGTTGTTAGTTGCACGGGATTCTTGTCAAATCGATTGTTTGCTATGGAATAACCATTAAGCTTGTATTTGTAGGCATTTGTTTCTTTACGTCCTATATTAGTCAGACTCAGAACAGGATTACTAAAAGAGACATCCTTCTGGATTTGTAGACGCAACATGGTTAATCTTACCTCAGTTTCTTCGATACTGGCACTCTACCCCACTGAATAATACTATCTTATTTATGCATTATGCATAACAGCACTGCAAAAAGAAGGAAAACTTGAAACAAACCCTATACCAACCCGTCTGGCTAGCATGGTATAGCAGGCCATAATCTGCTTTCTAGGGACTCCGTAGGATACAGACATGGATATATTGAAGCTATTGATGATGATGAATATGTGATGCAAGCCTTAGCTATACGCAAAAATGTCTTTAAAAAGTGGTCTGTTATTAAATCTAATGTATAAAGGAAATGAATTACATTATTGTAATAATTAACAACAATGCGACAAATATACAGATATTTAAAATTGTAATATAAAAACAGCAATTTTATTCCCTTGCTATGCGGCCTATCGGCATATTTGCACTTTGTATTAGTATGTATTCGAAGTACCAAGTGCTAAGGTCACTTCGGCTTCCTCGTTACAGCGAATTTTCCGCCTTGGCCGCAAGGTATAGAACGAGTAGCTGTAAGCTATTTTATTATATTTTTAATTGCAAACATTGAATCTATGTATATGTAATCTAAACACTGATCCTAACTTTATCATTTAAGACTTCTCTCGTATTATAATCCCTGTGTCGGAGTGGACTGAGTTGGATACAGATCGTTCAGATTTAAAACCCAAACCATTGTCATCTTCCTGCCTCTGTCAAAGTTTTATTAACCGGCCTTTGAAAAAGGAAGAGTTTCTCAATTCAGTTGTTTTTTTTTTTATGGTTACCTCAGAACTTTATGAACCGCCCATGTTGGGCCCATGCTGGTTGCTATCCAACCAAGCTGACTAGCTTAAAATAACTTTTTCAAATCGGAGTGATTGTTACTGAGATTGGTGTGTTCAAACATTAAATATTTTTTCTGAGAGCGAATTAGGAAGTGCCCCTTGCCATTGGGTAAACAAGATGTGTTAACAATATAAATCACTATACTAGACGAGTTTGTAAACGCGAACAAGGTCGAACACCCGTCTGCCGCAAACAATGATGAACGTGTTTGAACATTGATACATTGTCCCTTATTTCGAAACTAGTTTTCACTTGAGAACACCATGAGAAAATACTGGCCAGCCAAAACCAACAGCTGTTTGATTCTGGTTATCTGTTTATTGTTTGTCTGCAAATTAAACAGAGACAAGTGATCAAGTAAGATAGACTCTGAGATCTAATTCTCTGCAAACTTGTATAAAAATAGTTGCATCTAATAATTATAATTAATAATCTATTTCTTTATATTGAACACTTATGCGTTATATAGAATGTTTCTGCAAATATAATTATATAGAATATTAGTATTACAAACTAAATACAATATATATTCAAAAATGAATATTTTTTTTACAAATTTGCGAATTGGAAAATATATTCTTGTTTGCACACTTACACATTTTTTCAGTTAACTCATTAGTTTTAACTAAGGCACACAATTAGACAATATTCGCCAGCCAAAGCCAACAGCTGTCTGATTGCGGTTATCTGTCTGTTTATTGTTTATTCGTTAAATCCAGAGATAAGCGACCGAGTAAGATGATATTCTTTCAATAAAAAAAGAAGGCGTTGGTCTCTGCAGACGTTGATTAAAGTAGTGATTTTTTACACCCAATAAATAATAATGTCATGTTTAGTACAAAGGTTTAGCATAACTTTACATAATTTATTGTTGTTTACAGTCAATTATAAAATAAATGTATTTTTCGATATCGATTCATGATGTTGTGACAATAACTCTTATGGCTCGTAGCTAGATATTTTATAGTCCACAGCCTTCCTCAACAAATGGTCTGTCTAACTAAAATACTTTTTCAAGTCGTTCTGGTTACAGCTGAGATGGATAGCGTGTTCAAACAAATAATGACTAAAATATACGTATATACACATACATACATATATGTAGTCTACTGGTGAGTGACCCTAACTGCTAAGCCGGTGGTCGTGGGTTCGATTGCCTCCCAGGACAAATATTGGTGTGCATGATCACGATCGTTTTTGGTGTAATTTAGTTTGGGATCAGACTACCACGTGTCAGGTCTATTATTATTATATTGAATTACATCACTTTTGCTTTTCTTTAAGATTTTTTAAATTTCTAATGCCCGTGACTTCGCCTAGTAAAGTTGTTATTGAGAAATTAATAGTTAATTGATAATTCATAGGAACAATAAGTAATATGTATAATCCTTATATTCCCATTACAAATGCAAAAAAATGAATGAAATGAAAAACATGATATTATAAGGAATATATCCTCCATATTTCACGTCCAGTCAGTGCAGTCTAATTTCTCTACGGCCACCAATTTAGGCTTTGCTTTCATCACTCAGGACAAATCATTTTATATTACATACTAATATCTTCATTAGTCTTTGTTACCCTAAGGCCAAGTGTGAAAAACAATATTTTTCATATGAATTGACTGGTAGTATTCTTTGTTGTATATTAATACATAGTAATACAAAAGCTATTAATAAAGTGTAGTAATAAATTGTCTATTTAATCACTACGACTTATCGAAACCTTGGCCTAATTCACGCCTTTTTTAAACTTTTAAATTATCTCAGACTATGCCCCTTGATAAAACACTATTTATTTAAATGTGTTACCCACGTGTTTATTTATTCGGTTACTAAGTCGCGTAATAAAAACTTCATACTGTAATTTTCCTACTAGGTGCATGGTGGATGATTCACAGACCCGACAGGCCCCGGATGCCATATTGTTTATTATTGAATTGATATCACACGTTCTGAGCCGAAGCAACTTAAGTAGGTTCTCAAATCTCAACACGTGTTGAAGTTTTGATTACTCGATTTCTACCAATACGTTACCATGGCATTTTAGTACGAATTCACTGCGAGCGTAAGTACATTTTAGTGCGAAAGTACTCATATGCATTTAGAAGTTTTTAGATGTTTTGGCAACTTAGAAGGCTAAACTAAGAAGAAATGCTTGAGAATAACAAGATGTTTTAGTGAGCAATTTATTTATTTAATTCTTTACGCACAGATGAAAATTGTAGAATGGTAGTCTTAATGCTACAGGTACTTTCTCTGTCTTCCTTAGGATAGTGCAAAAATGAGTGACTAGGTGGCACTTGAAATTTTGAAAATTCGGTACTGAGAAGCGGGTAGGTATTATTTGTTTTGTAAAAAATATTGTTTTCAAGGAAATACTCGTATTCTCAACGTCCATTCCTCCAGGTCCCGCATGACCTGGTTAATATAGTGTCATAGACATGATAACCTTAACAAAGTAAATTCTTTGAATGACTTACAGCATCGGCGTTTGTATCAATTTTATTTGCAACTTAAACAATGTGTTTCCGTTTGCAAGATGTTATCGCACTTGTTGTATTACTTAGACATCACTTGATAAAGTAATAAAAAAATAAAATAAAAGATAACACGTTTAATTGATGGGTTAGTTGCTGATTTTGACAATGTTTTGAGATGGTTATCTACCACAAAATGATAGTACATCAATCTTTTATGAACATCATGTTATAGATGAATATTCTAAGTCCTCGTGGCTACTGTTATTGACACTCCGTTACACAAAGAACTGATAAAATATTATAATAGAACGTTCCGATCATGTGGCAAACAAAGAGATGTTCACAAAAGCATTTTCAATTGTGGCGTAATATACTAAACAAGCTATTTACTGATTGTGTTATCATTACAAACGCTTATTACGTACTGTGTACCTACCACATATGGTAATTATTTACTAGATTCGATGTAAACAAATAAAAATAATGATTTCGATTTCAATTTGAGGTATTGATAAATTCTCAGTTGTTTTACCTAATACCTGCATTTTTAAGAGGGATGATGATAAGGTCGAGATGTAATACGTAAATGTTTGTTCACTAAAAATAAAAGAAGCATGTGTCTCTAATCGTATCCTCGTAATCGTAAAATGCACAATTTATAAAAATTCAAAATAGGACAACATCAGTTGTTGAATTACAAATATGTAATATATATAATTTATAGTTAAGGTGAATTAAATTTTGTCTTACATTACAATTTAAGCCTTACCGCAGCAATATCTTTGACATCGACCGTGAAATTGACGAATAGCTCTGCGTACATACGAAAACCAACGTAACTATTTCGCAACATATGGTATATTTACTCGTTAGATAGTTTATTTTGATAGCAGAGATTTAGCGTGGGCGTTGCAGCAAAATAGAGGTTTATCACTTTTGCATTAGCTTACGAATGGTAGGTACGATTCCGTAGGCTCGTTAAAAGCAACATTTTATGACTGGCATTTATAAAATTTATGACAGACGACAATAAAGCAAGCGTAATACGTACAATAATCCTGAAATTCTTTATCATGTCGACATTAGGATTTACGACGAGTTATTTTTAATATGAACAAATCGACAATGTTTTTATTAACCTACACCCATGACATCGATGTTTAAATATTTCCCTGAATTTATCTCTGACTAACACTGTTTACATCCTACAATATCCTTTGTGTTTATAATATATTAACACATTGCAAATTGAAATGCTTTGCGCAGCCACATATGTTATTGAACAGTACAGAATACTGCAATATGACTGCATTGAACGTTGTTCACTGCACGCGATTTTCGATCGATAACTGTAAAAAAAGATAGAGAAAATAAGCACTTTTACTTTTGTTGCAGACGGAAAGCGAAACCTCATGTGAGGAGGCCGCAAGACTGACGGCAGAAGGGGCAGCAGCCGATGCCGATGACGATGAGGCCTACGACTATGGTGCTCTGCCACCGCCTCCTGATGGAGGCTATGGATGGGTCGTCGTATTCGCCTCTTTTATGTGTAATATGATTGTGGACGGCATAGCATACACATTTGGTATATTCCTTCCCGAATTGGTGACGTATTTCGGAGAAGGCAAAGGCACTGTTGCTTGGGTAGGCAGTTTGCTGTCTGGAGTTTATCTCGCTGCTGGTAAGACTTTATGATGTTCATTTCCTACTTTATTCAAGGATACCTACCCATTGTGTTGTGACACGAAGTACTAAAATCGTATACACTATTAATGTGCACACATGTCAGCACTTGTCGTTCGTTTCATTGTTTATGACACGAGGAAGACAAAGAGTTTTTATCCTATAATCGCAATAAATTCCATATAAAGTTAATAGTAATTTTACACTCAAATCTTACAAATCAGTAGACAATTACAGTTTTTATTTCTTCCACTCGTGAACTCTGTGTTATATTATTGAGAAAATATAACTATTATAGTATAGGCTTTCTCAATATTTTCATAAAGCTAGAGATAGATCATCATTAGAAATACCGTCAACGCAAATAGAGCACTTGCATTTTAAAGCTATTTGCTAATTTTAATCGCATGTGGCATTCTGTGCTCACGCAGACGTGACCCGAATTGATAATTCGGGTCACGTCTGCGTGAGCATTATTTACACTCAGGACAAATTTTATTAATTATATCTGTCTATGAGCACAGATATCATACATATAGGACGATGGGAAATGTGTTTACGTATTGTATGGGATGCTTCGCATGCTATCTCAACTGCAGGTATAATCATATTATTACCGCCATTTCCATACGCTGAATACACTGTTACGTCAGATTAACGCCTTACAAATAAAATAAAATCTTGTATTGTGCGTAGAGGTCAACTATACTTTATTTTATTGTATTTATACTAGCGTACAGTAACCAGTAATCATAAATAGATTTTCCCAAACCTTCACTCTTAGAAACCGTCTTAGATTATTAACCGGCTTTATTACACATTAAGTCTTTATACAGCTTCATGTCGATTTAATATTATTACCATTACCAGGCAGCTTTACTAGTAGTAAAATAACTACTTTGCAGAACCTCTTAAGTGTAAATAAGTTAACATCATATAAGTTATTAATACAGACATAAAATCAGTTTTGTGTTGTTTTTCCCCAAGATTACGTTTATGTTTAAGTACCTATGTATATGTACTACGCAACAATGATTTTATCCATACCTAGTAATGATTGACACTCGAAGGAAATGCCATTAAATGAAATAAGCATGTCGTTGTAAAGCTTAGGTAATTTAAAACTGATTTGTCGGTGATGGAAGTCATTTCATTAGTAAGTAAAGTAAGTACTGTTCTGCCTGTACTTACTACTATTTAAATGAATAGCAACGTGATAGAGTGTGTAAAACACTTTTATACTTTGCTTTTGATGTCCAATCATCTTTATCTTTACAAACCACTGATCAATTTAGAAACAGCCAATCGCAAAAAATATATTATGCACAAACTTTTTAGAGGAACGTTCAAGTACCGTAGAGCATGTTTCTCGTCTACATCAGTCCAATCATGAACTAGTCAGGATAGGGTTAAATGAAAAGTATTTGATCAACTATCGAATATAATTGGATTTACAAGAGACCGTATCACTTGTACAATGTTTTGCAGTTGCAGATTTTTGACGTAGGACTGGCATTGCAAGCTTACGAGATTTATAATAATGGAAGTGTGGGCGGGAGAATCGCTATCGTGTTAAAAACCTTTTCGTATAACAAAAATACTAAAACCATTACTGAATAAACACCACTGACTTAAGATTGCACTTTCACAAAATTAATTTAATCTAATCGGAATTACCTACTTAGTTAAAATATTGGACTTTTTATTAGTGAATTGCTATGTTAAGTAGCTACATAGCATATATTGATACAATTTTATCGGCTTACTGAGGTATTAACCTATCGTATCAGTATTTTTGACTTATGTTCTTTATCTTGCTTCGCTATCATTTTGAACACAGTTTTGTTTGTGATTCTGTAATGACGACGGTGTTCAGGCCCTCCTAAATAGATTGCCTGGATTTCTGGGATCATTTTCTTATGTTTAAAAATGAACGATTCCTTGCTCACATTTTATGCGTTGCCGTACCATCCGATCATTATGAAATCTTGCTAACACGTTGCTAGTGTTACAGCAGAAAACATAGGGTACCTTATATGTAGAAAAAAAACAGTTTTGTTTGTGATTCTGTAATGACGACGGTGTTCAGGCCCTCCTAAATAGATTGCCTGGATTTCTGGGATCATTTTCTTATGTTTAAAAATGAACAATTCCTTGCTCACATTTTATGCGTTGCCGTACCATCCGATCATTATGAAATCTTGCTAACACGTTGCTAGTGTTACAGCAAAAAACATAGGGTACCTTATATGCAGAAAAAAAAAACACGAAATGAAACCTCAGGAAATGGCTAGTGCATTTAAAAAATATAGTTAACGCCACAGACATTAAATGAAAGGAATTTATCACTAGAAGACACGACCCAGTAACCCTAACATCTCATCATATATTGAAATTATCATCTGTCTAGCTAAATGTAGGTTAGTTAATTTAGCAATTGCGTATTATTTCACTTCATCCTACAAAATTATATGATAAATATAATAATTTAATAGTTAAATTCTGCGCATTTAGTGTTTCTTTAAATTGGGGGTGGTTTTAAGTGGAAACACGACATACTTCTGGTTCCTACATCCCCAAAGAGCCGGACATCCGAAGGGATTTTCCACCCCGTCAAAAAAAGTACCTAACACACGAGAGCACACTAAATAAGCTCTCATATGTTAGGCAAGTAACAATTGACTTACTTGAAAAAACCTGACGTACACTCCACTTGTGAAAGTAATTTCATGACTGATTAAAATGTCTAATGTTTTTAAATATCAGTTCAAAGAATTAAACAAACCAACTAACCTTTGGTTTAATGCTCTAAGGTTCAAAAACACAGAAGAATTTAGAGAAAGTCTCCTAATTTTGGTAATCTTTACGTCTTGGAAATAATATAATCGTCTAAAGTTGTCCGGTATTTTTAGAACTGTGTACTTATTCCTTATAAAGAGCAATAAAATGTATCCGGTACTTATTTCATTATGAAGATACATCTATTCCTTGAACTAGATTTTAAGTATTTAAATACCACAACTTGCAGAAATACAAGTTAGCCATCTAGGTTTTAGTACCAAGGTGGTCACTTCTATTATTTATAATGGTGGCTTAATCTGTTAATTTCCATGGCATGATGCAAAACATATTGATTTAACATTTGAAGTTAATTGCAACAGGACAAATGTATTCTTGGCAAAAGCTTCACGTACAATTTTATACGTGTAAATAGATTAAACGGCACACATTACGATTCAAAACTGATTGCTACCGATCACTTTGTAATTCTAAATGTAAATCCTTCAAACAACGTGATAAGCTGTCGCTGGTAATGATGAATACCGACTGATAGTATTATTGGTAAAAAATGAAAGCAGTGATAAACAATTGTAAAATTAAGAACAACTTTTGCTCTTTCAACTTTAGTTAGTTGTGTTATTTGAGTTTTGAATGAAAAAAAATACTTTACACTGTCAAGGCACATGCTTCGTTTCCCTTGGCTCCCTGGAAAGGGATATATCTTACTACGGTAAAACGTAACAGAAGTAGACTTTTACCTTGTTAGTCAAATTTTATTTAACCAGATGTACGTAGGTCACAAAACATAACAACAACATACATTTTGAGACGCGTACACAATATGTATATACTTACAATATATATTTCTTAACAATATACATATTTTTTCCAAATTCTCTCCATTACTCTATACAAATTTCAATCCGCCTAAACCAGTCTTGGAAACACTTATTCCAGTCTTCCTCCGACAAGTCAAAAATGGCTGATTCGTAGGCAGCTAGGCAGTAGGCAGCAGGAAAAAATTTGCCTTTTATCTTATTTTTTATGGTGGGGAATAAAAAGAAGCCACAAGGTAAGGTATTATAACCCGATTCTTAAATAAACGCCTTTGTTCTGAGGGAAGAGTGTCAATGATGATGCACCACCATTGTCGTGGTGCAGCATCATTCCCCGGAGCCCGGTCGTTGGTCGTCTCCCCTGTACAGCTTTGAAAACTTTTGGCAATCCGACTGTAGTGTACCATTCTGACTTAAAATTCTCTAGCATTGATGTTGCAAAATGTCCACTACGTGAAAAAATTGGTAACCATTTTTTTACCTATGTTACGCAATTATGTTGGCAACTGGCCATCTGGAAACACCCATACCGAGGAACGCTTCTTGCTCTCCGGATCATATTGATATATCCATGTTTGTTGCTATGTCCAGTATCCAGTAATGATTTCAGAAACACGTCTTGACCTCCCATTTTCAAAACGTAGACGCATCTCACGGCACCATTCCACACGGGCTTCTTTTTCCGTTTCGGAGAACAAACAAAGTATCCAATGACAACAAACTCATTCTAAGATGTTCATGTAATATGGTGTGAACACTAACCGAACTGATGCCTAAGATTTTCTTTATGTCCCTGTATGTAGTTCGTTGGTCATCTCGGATATTTCAGATCCAACAGTGACTGCTGTTGGCGGGCATCCATTTCTGTCATCATCTTCAAGGGTAGTTTTCCACATTTTAAATTCGAGCGTCTCAAAACTTACCTATGTATAATATAATACCAGTTTCATTATAGTAATGGTAAAAATCGACTAAAATATTTTTTTCCTGTTTCTCGAAATTTTGATTAATTTGGCTTATTAATAAAGAAAATGAATTTGGTTGACAGGTCCAGTGGTGTCGGCGTTATGCAACAAGTTTGGGTGTCGAGCGGTGTGCGTGGCAGGCTCCATTATAGCGGCGATTGCTTTCGTTCTTTCCACATTCAGCAAGAGTGTTACCATGATGATGATAACCTACGGATTAATAGGAGGTAAGTAGATAAAAATAAGTATAAATTGTAAACAATATTATACTATATATTAAATCACTTTTTAATGTACTAGTCAGCCAATATGTATTACTTACACTTAATTAAGATTGGACATGGGATTTTAAATGGTAATTTAATTATCATGTGAAGTGTGTGTCGAATAAATATAGATTTATGCTCGTTAAAGGTGCATAAAAGCCTCTAAACCTAGGGACCTAGTGCAATGGTTCATCTAAATGTTACATCTAGTCTCTCTTTGAGGTTTCTGAGCTACACAAACAGGTCATAATAATGTAACTTAGTATGACTAATCATACTAAGTTACATTATATTACTAATCGCCTAGTGTAAGTTTATTTTACTTCTACTCGTCACGGTGACCGCGTTCGGCGTTGCGATTGGTGAAGAGTTTAGTTCGGCCCAATCACAATGCTGATCGAGTCGATGTTAAATGAACTCACTAGGCCCTTTGACGTTCGTGGTATTTTACTTCATTGCGAGTGAGAAAGAAAATTAATGAATAAACTACAAAACTATGTTGATTATGTAAACACATACATCAGATGTGACAGCTAATCTGTCTCTCAATATCTTTCTTGTATATGACAGTATATAAGACGTGATCGTTGTGAGATGAAGGTTAAAAGCATAAAAATAAATTTGATGAATCATCTAATTTTGGTATAAATAGGCAGATTAAAATAAAAGCTGTTTACATTAACGGTTATTTATTCCTTTTATGCCGCTAAGTAAACCAACGAGCTTTCCTTTTCAATTTGATTGATCTTATTTGGATAACTCTAATTAAAATGACAGTATTTTGTTAAGAAATGGAACCCTAATCATAATTGCTTTAACTTTACGATTATCCTTAAAAGCTGTACAAGGCTTTAAATAGATCTGAAAGATCTTTTTTTGTAACCTTGACCAGCAGCAGAGAAACAAATTGTCATTATCAAATCAGACAACCCTTTATTATTGCCAAAACCATGAACTTTTTAAACCACTTGTAATAAATAACTGAAAATGATTGCGCTTTGTTTGACGCTAACTAACGCAGATGCCTTAACTTCAAGCGAGGATCACCATGCTCGCTTCTACCTTCATGTAGCTTGTTGCTACACAAAAACTTGCATGAGGCCTACCATTACCTTTTCTGCTTACTACCAATGATATAGATTTGAAAAACCTTGACAGTTTGAAGAAGAAGAAAACAGAAAAAAACCTTTCAAGAAAACAGAGATCTAATCTTTGTACTTTTCGACGTTATTTCAGTTTGTAGTACCAAGCACTCGTTTGAATTCTAGTTTGAAATTTGCGTATTCTAAATCACCCGATTTGTTAAAAAAAAAGAGAAAAGAATATTAGTAAAATCATATTTCTCGATAGATATTATTTTAAGTATGTTTAATCGGTGCTTTAGGAGAGCTACAATTTTTTTGTCCAGATCCTGAAGCACGTTTCTATATTATTATTAAATTATTGTCATTATTCTTACATTATTATTAATTAAAGATTTTTACCGAAATACGCTATTGCGCTTTTACAGAAAGCTAGGTCATTGTAAAGATCAATCCAATCAAAGCTCTAAAAATATAAACGAAGTCACGTCATCCACCCAAGTTTTTAATCTTTAGAATAACGATCGAAAGATCTTTAGAAGACGTCGCGTTTTCTAAAACAATGCTCCGAAGGACGGATGGCGGATACCGACTACACGCCGCCAGTCTTCAATATGGTGCCAAGGGCAGGGAACATTTACTTATGTTTCACGTCCTGTCATTTGTTTTATTGCTTTTCTATGAACAGTAAAACTAACATGTCACATTAATGTCTGTTTATGCGTTTTGGAAGGCGGATTAATAATGTTACAGATGTCTGCAACTATTCCTATGTTGATTTCAGTCGAAACTTGTTTAAAAGACACGTACCTACTCTTTGTATATTGAGACTGTGATCAGTCCTCTTTTTTATTCAGAAAGAAATGGACGAAAGTTCCCACGGTTACACATGATTTTAATCCAAAAGAAATCACCGATTGACGATTTATAGTAGGTACTTCAGTATAGACTGTTATAATAGTTTTAGTTGGCCTGACTGGCCTGTTGGTCTAGTCTCTCTAGTAATTATCAATCGTGACTGCTAAGCTACAGATCGGTTATAGATTCCCTGCTACAAAAAAAAATCGAGTGTAGTTTCTGGGTGTAGTTTACCTATGATACGAGTATGTATGTATTTTTCAATGCGCCCTTATAATATGTTTTTTCTTTAAATTTAAATGTAACCAAACGAGAAGGATACCCTTCTAAATTAAAAAAGAATTTATTAAAACAGTTCATTTACAAAAAAATATAACTGAACGCTCTCAAAGCTCTTAATTTTTTTACAGTTAGTTCAAAAGCATAATATATTAGCTACTTTCTAAAATTAAATCAGCCTTTTTGGTTATCAACATAAATATTTAAAAAGTTTATGACAAGGAAAATGACCTTTGTACGTTTACTGATACATTAATGTGACAGGCACGTTTAATTTTATCTCCACTCAATACCATTAGCAACGGGCAGCCCTGTTGACGGTGCACCGAAAATACCTGTTACGAACAGAATTCGAATGACGTAGTAACTGACTTTGAATAAAGAACAACATAGTAATACAGAATTTACAATCACGATTTCATTTCTTTCGAAATACGCAGGCTGGTTGGACCAGGACCTCAAAACACCGGATGTCTTAATAACAGCAGTTCCCGGATCCCTCCTATTACAGGCGCAGAGTGTTGCTTTAGTCGGTCCGATTCCGACACACCACCCCGCCGAGGTGACGGGCCGAGGGGGTTTCTCCACGTTAAAAAAAGGACCTTAAAACACCAACAAAGATACAGATATATAGATATAGGGAATTACCTTCCAAAGAAAGAGTATCTCCTTAAAGTGTCTAATCATGATAAAGTACAATAACCTGCATTCGTATTTCTTCATTTTTGGAAGGGAATGAAGGGAAGTTATTTGATGAAAAGTTCTCTCGGTGCTCGGAGCTCTCTCGGTACTCGGAGCTCTCTCGGAGCTTATATTACCTTGCAACAGTATTAAAGTTATCGAATCATATAGTCGCAATCCATGATATACTTATTTTTGAGTAGTTTCGGTGGTATCGGAGGTCTCCATCGATGGTTTTACTTCACCGAATTTATATTTAACATCATAATATACACGGGTTACTATAAAATTTGTTTGAATTTCTTCTGGATCCTATGTATGTATTTTATGTAGGTTAAAATTAATTTGTCCTTGTTACCCTGCCTTCCTTTTCCTTTCTTCTAGTTCTACTGTTACTGGTAGTAAAAGTAGTAGTAAAAGAAAGGCGTCTTTGATAACATTAAATTTTTACAGTTAAACGAAGGGTGATTATTTTGATTTTAGTTGTCCGTACCACAAGTTTAATTGTTTTTAAAAGTTATTATTTTATGTAACACGAATACCAGGATTTTGCATAAACGTTTGGAATTTCTCGAAGAAACATGATTAAGTTTTCTCAATTAAATATTAATTAGTAAAACCGCCTACTACTTTAAACAGTGTTTTTTATTTCTAATTTTGATATAATATTGTCTATTTACTATTAAATGTATACTTAATATTTATATACATTCTCCATTCCATTCAATGAAGAATTATGTAAATATTACGGTGAGTACACCGAGATTGCAATACGGTGGTGTAGGCAACTAACCCTTTCGACGACTTGTACAATACTAGTAAAGTTTTTTTTGGAATTGATGATATTTTAACACCGTAGCAAATTTACAAAGGGTGTTTGTTTAATATTCTCAAAATAAGGCTTCCTTACATGCGTTTATATGAAACTTAACGACCTATAGGACTCATTTAATTAAAAAAAGTCGATATCGATCTGCAATGTAAGTTAAATAAACCTTGTGTTGCCTAACCCATTGAAATATTTAATCACCACTGAAACAGTTAGAGGAAACGCCTTTGAAGGACTTAATGACATCATTTCTTTTGACAGCTGAAGGTTCAGTTTTTTTGGGGCATAATATTTGCAATGATCGTCGTGTGTCACGTTTAGCTGTCTCTTGTTATTGTCTACCTGCAGCTCAGTGTTTTATTAAAATTCTATATATCGTGGCATATTTGACTTACAATATATCGTCAAAATCTTAGGTAAAATCCAATGGTCTTGTTCACCTAGGAGAAGACAAATATCTCGACACTAATTGCGGTAGATATTGGAAAGGTCTACTAACTGTAACTACTAAAGACTACTAATTTATAACTTTGTGGGATAGCTATGCTTCGACACCAATAGGCCTGCCCAACTAGAGTAATACCACGGCCTTACAGAACACTAGTGTGAAGCTATTCTTACGATACTTTTCACCGAGTGAGTGAGGTTAGTTATATTTTTCTATGACTTTGGGACGTAGTTATAAATAAAATCACTTCTTGACTTGTATTAGACTATCATATAATTAAAGTATTACATAGACAAACTTTGACCACTTTACAGTGTCGTAGACAGCAGGTCAATCACTACCTAAGTATGTACATAGTGCTACGTACCTTAGTGACGTGACATAAAAACTTACTAACGTAGTGATGTTACAACATCCCCCTCTTAAGTCAAAATTGAATACTGACCGACTATGTTATATAAAAACTTAAATTTAGACTTAACTTAAACACTATTTTAAACATATTTATAAACTTGGTTTATTTCATCTATCAGCCTTCTTGTACCAAACCACCATAACGAGTGACTTTTGGACTAGAGGATTGAGCTAAGAATCGTTGAGGTCTAGACTTCACCTTTCCTCTCTACCCTGCGACGAGTTGGATAGCATAGGAGGGTCTGCAATATTACCTGAGTACTTATACGTTAAGTAAACTCTATTTCTCCGGAACCTCCTAACTCCATTGACATCCTCTATGACATATGACCTGTTATTTGACAATCTTAATTTGAATATGGCCTTTTCC